CATTCATTGACCGCACGTGAAAAAACCTATTTAGTTGACTTTTTTTTTTCTTCTTCTTTCTCATTTTCAGCCACCATTTCTGAAACTTAAACATCCAACTATGGTGAATCAAAATAGTTATCGTAAACAATTGAAAAATGATGGAAATTGTTTAAGAAATTTAGAAATACACCCATTTCAGATTTACTTAGTAAATTAATTCATGAGATTCTTTCCCAAAAGGATTGGATATTTACATAGAAGTAATTTTTTTTTCTTTTGTGAATCTGCTAATTAGGATAAAAAAGAAACAAAAAGATATTTAAAAAAGACACTAATAAAGAGCAGTGTGTACGTTGGCATGTTTCTCATATGTTTTTGCAAGTATTTGGAGAAGAAAATCGCCTTTGGGGGGGGGGGGGGGGGGAGGGGTTGGGGAGAGCGGGGTTGTGTGCAAATATTTTTGCAAAATGGGTGGGGTGGGGGGAGAACGGGATGTGCGCATATATTTCTGGAAAATGGGGGTGGGGTATTTCTGCAAATGGACTGGGGTGTTTGGAGAAGAAGACGGTGGGTGTGGGGTGGGAATTTATTGGCTTAATTTTTAAAAAAAATTATTTGGGCAAAAATCCATATGTCATTGATTCATTGGTTACATTTTATTTTTACTCAAAATTTATTGTTTAAGAATTGTTTTTGACACAAATGACAAATGTCATCGTTTAATTTATCACTTTACACGTCATTTGCGAGTGTAACACACACACCTCATATATTTTTGTTGATTGAAAAAAAAGTGTCAAAATGACACAACGATACCCTATATGAGACGTCTAAGATAAACATCATCCAGTTGAGGTGTCTAACTGAACTTCGTGCCAACTTTAAGGGGTCTCCAATAGATTATGCCTTTTATTAAAGGGAAAAAGGACAAATATACCTCCGAATTATTATAAATGGTATGTCAATACCCTCCGTTATACTTTAAGGTTATTTCTACCCTTATCGTCAATCTTTTGGGTTGTATTTACCCTTGTAACAAATGGAGGGCCACGTGTCATTATCTAAATGGTCTATCCAAAATCAATTTAAGGTTTACCCACAAATTAATAAAACCTACCCATCTACCCATAATCTAACCCACCCACGACCCACATAACTTAAACCCTCAATTCTTCCACAAATTAATTTTTTTCCGTCCAGCAATAGTTCTCCGGTAGGAGCTTAGCCGTTGTCGTCTTAATCTGCTCCAACTTGCACCTTGTTAGCATATTATGAGCGATTACATTCACTTTTGGTTAATCATGGTAGCCATTGACATGCCCATCGCTGCCGGTAAAGAACACGACAATCTTGGTGGTTGTAATAGGTGTTTGTTCCTGTGTTCTGTAGATTTAGTTTCAGTCTTCGCTACTTTTTCAGTTGTTCTTTACGAATCTCTTATTTGGATGGTTTAACTTGTGTTCTCTCTGGTAACCCATTTAAGATCTATCTATTTTTTCTCTCTGGTAAACCATCTGAGAACTTCTGTTCTCTCTGGTGAACCATATGAGAACTTGTGTTCTCTGTGGTAAGCCATTTGAGAAATCTCATCTGAGAACCATATGTTGTTTCTTTGTAAACTTCCATTGATAGCTTCAATTTACACATCATTAAAAGTAAATATTCTGGAAAAAATGAATTATTTTTCTTCATTTTCAGGCCTTTTGGGTTGTTCAATTTGTTTCTCTTCTTTGATTTGTTCTTTATTTGTGTTGCCAATTCATGTTGGGACATTGTGAAATTCATTCTTGATGGTTCAAGAGAGTGTCTTTTGTTTTGAGATCTATGAGGAGTCATCAAATTATTCAAAGTCGGATTGCAGGGATCAACGACTAGGTTTCGCGAGTTTGAAGTTGTGAAATGTTACATATGGATGGAGTTTTCAACTGCTAGGAGTAGCGATATGGAAGTCAGCGTGTAGGCATTTGGGTTGGGTTGTTGGAATTATTTTCCGGCAAAGAGCAACGTTCAAGTATGAGAAGGCAGCCGGAAATTACAGTGAAATCTCTTTGTAATTTGAGTGTGGATATTTTTTATTTGGGTGGATTTTTAATTAATCGGGTGGGTTTTTTAATTTTTGGGTAAAAATTTATTAAATATCGGATCGGTTGACATTTGTTAATATAGAGGGTATAAACGCTCCACAATTTGGACGGTAGGGACACTGATGTCCTAATAGTATAACAAAGGATATATGCGTACTATTTACGATAGTTCGGGGACATATTTGTCCTTTTTCCCTTTATTAAATAATCAATTGACAAAAGGAAGAATAGTGACGAGATGCATGTATAGTTTTAAAAAAGTCAAGAATGTTAATTATTAAGCATATATCTTAAACCGACCAATAGTTATGCCTGGAATATACGATTATTATGCTGTACAGACAAATATTATGATATGAATTTATATTTTAATTTGCCAGAATTAACAAAACGCAAAAGAAATTGGACATTTGTCCAGATTCCAATTTCCACAATAAGAATTTTATGTATTTAACGGATGTCATCAGTCCATACTCAAAATAGTCTGTAACTGCTTTGGCAATTTGATCTTTCTAAAATCTTAATTAAAAAGCTGGTATTAGCCTTGAAAATATAATATGTTATCCCCTTAAGTAGCAATTTGATCTTCCTTAAGTATTCCCTCCGTTCTATTGTCTTAATTAAAAATGAATGTCCTTACATACTAATTGTTTCACAAATTCAATACATAAATAAATTATGTTATCTTTGAAAGTTATTAGCCTTGAAAATATAAATTTGACCAACATAGGAAAACTAAATTATTGATTCATGTTTGGTCAATTTAAATTAAGGATAAATTACCTAACTACACAATATTTCTTTTCATTTTTTCTAAAATTCCCTACCATTTAAAAATATTTCAAAAATTCCTCTTTTACTCTTTTTCTCTTCTTTTCCGGATACATTATTCACATCCCTTCCAATCCAACGTTTGTTCCTATTTTACACCTAAAATCACTCCCATATATCAACAGTTACATCAATCACTCAATTTTTTAATTTCAAATGTATTCTCTCTCAAGTTCATCGATTTCAAGTTCCTAAAGAGGTTGAACTATTTCTTCATCAATTTTTTTATTCCAGTTCTTCAGATGTTGTTTTTTTTTAAAATTATTTTTTTCATTTACAATTTTCTGATACATATGAATTATGTTCTCTCTTTTTAGTATGGTATCTTGTGTATTTGATTTTGATGATGAAAACTTTCATGAAAATAGATCTAATCAACTCATTATGATTCCGACGATGATGGTTGGACTGAAAATAGATCCAAAAGGTTGTAGGATCCATTAACAATGGTGAATCACAACATTTAGAAAACGAAGTCGAAGAAGTATGAAACTTCATCTTTTAAAGTTAATGTGGAAAAGTCCCTCCAAAAAAGGGTAGAAGAGTTGCATATGCTATGTGGTGTGTTAGGTTTGAAGAAAATGATTTAGGATTAACAATCTTTGAAGAAAATGATCTATTGGTGGGCTCTGGTAAGGACTTCAGATCGAGATTCAAGGGTGACGTCATTGTTAGCAGTGAAAAAAGGATACAATAGTGAATGTTGAGAAGGAGAAGAGGGATGCACATTCGTCTTTTGAAGTGAATGTAGAAAAAAGTGGAAGTAAATTCGTCTTCTACAATGAATGTTGAGATTGTTGATTTCTTTTTTTCAATTTTTTCTTGTTCATCTCTTTCTGATATATGTGGGTTCAAATTTTTAATGTATCCAGTTGTTTTTGTTTCTTAAATTAATGTATAATGCTTTCGTTTCAACATTATGATATATTACAATTTCATCATGTACAATGTATCGTGTTCAAATTATCTTACGACTATCGTTTGGGATACACTAACTAGATTTTTATTGTATTAAGTTAATTTTGTTTCTTAATTAATGTATCTTTATCATGTATCTAGGTGTGACTATGTATCTTCTACCTTATTTAAATTTAGAAAGATGTGTATCCGTACACACTACCAAATCATATGTGTGATACATAAACTTCACTATTTTCATAGCAAAATATGTGTGGTTAAAAAATTTGTATCTGAATCCATCGATACTAACTTTTTCTATTATAAATATCCAATAAAGTGATTAACAAATTGATACATAACAGCGTGTCATAACTACATAATAGCAATCTTAGCACACAACAATGCATATGATACTTATTAACTTATAGATATGATATATAAAGTGCCATACAAGTATGTATCAAATTCATAAATGGTGATATAAAAATGTTATTATCAAAAGTTTGTTTAGTTTGAGGCAAAATGTGAAGATCTTGCAGCTACGTATCTGATACAATAAATATGGAGCACATTGATACATATATTAAACCTGTCCAATTGTTATTAAAAAGAAACGTAAGCGTAATTTATGAGATTTAATTAAATTTTCAGATTTATTTCCTGCTTTAGCGCAGCAAATTGACACTTATTGTAGGGCAGCATTAATGTATCCGGACAACCAATTATGTATCCGAATGGCTGATATTTTAGGGAATTTTTATAAAATAGAAAAGAATAGGGATATGATATAATTTAAGTCTTACACTATGAGATTTATGTAAGTTATACTTTAATTAATTAAAATAAATACATTTATGCTCATTTTATTAAAAATTTGACTTTAAAAAAAACATTAAATAAAGGTAAAATTGTAAACTTACCTAGTTTCTTAAGAAAGTAAAATCTAAAATGATGACATATATATAATGATATAAATAGGATTGGAGGGAGGATCAATTTACCTTGACGTATTTATATTTCAAGAGTCCAAATAATTTTTAAATTATTAATTATTAGTGATTTAGTCTTAAAATTTGTACGCAAATGTGGCACCTAAATTGAACAGAAATGGTACTAATATTTTTCATCTTTGTAAAACGGCAACGTTTGATTAGTCTCCTTCATCAACGCCCACTGAGATCCAAATGTACGCAGAACAACAACAACAATGGATAGATACGTTCAACAATTCCTCAACAGATTATCTTTAGCATCCATCATTGCAGCCACATTTATCCTTTTCGTGCTTTTCATCCGAACACCTGAAACCTGTGTTAATCCCAATATCACCAAACCTAAGCCCCACCACCGTTTCCCCAAATCCACCTGCGATTTTGCTCACCGGAGTTACACCTCCATTAAGAAACACAACCGTCGTGTATGGTCCACAACCGCCTGGATCCAAACAGTTGTTTCTTTCAAATCTCAATTCCAGACTCTTCAGGACAAGAAGCTGTTTACTAGACATTCACGGGCTCTTGTGGTATCTGCTGGGGCAGGTCAGGCTGTAATGGCCCTAAAAGAAATGGGCCTTCACGACATTACTGGTGTGGAGGTCGTGGATTCGCCGCCGCTTGTCAGACGTGCGGATCCGCATAGTCTGCCTTTTTTTGATAATGCGTTTGATCTCGCGTTTAGTGCGTATTTGGATCGGGCATTGTTTCCGGATAGATACGTGGCGGAAATGGAGAGAACGGTGAGACTTGGTGGCGCGTGTGTAGTGGCTGTGGAAGAGTGCGGCGGCAGAGAGGTGGAGGAAGTGGTGAAATTGTTTCGGAAGTCTAAGGTGTTGGGGATAAGGAATGTGACTATGGGTGATGAAACAAGGACTAGAATCGTATTGAGAGTTATGAGTGACTGAAAATTTCAGTTGATTTGCTGTTTAGCTTCTAGTAAAAAACTTTGCAACTTCCACGTGACACCTATCACCTTCCCGTACGCATGTCTAAGTGATAACTAGAGAGTGAAAATTCATGTATAGTTGCTAATTCGACTTACTAATAGATTCGTTAATTTTATAGTTTGAAGAGAGAGTTTTATAAATCAATTAAAGAAAGATACGTAGAAAGGGGAACATTGTTTTAGAAAGTAGTGGCTTGATTAAAGATTAAGCATCAATTTGTAATTTCTGGTACTATATTTGCTCCTTTTGTCTTTTGAGTGCGTTCCTTTGAATGATCTGATGATGTAAAAATCATTTACACTAACGGAATATATAACTTATACTCGTTATACACCCCTACAGATCAATATGATGTGAGTGTGTGTGATGAAGAAAACACAGTTAAGTTATAAAGATTCTCCCCTTCCCCTTCAAAGTGGATGGGAGTGTGTGTGGTTAATTGGTAATTGATTAGTTGTGTTTACAATGTATAATATCCTTTTCACCTCAGAATAAAATAAACAGTAAAACTACAAACTTAATAGAGGCAATTGTTGTCCATGTTGAAAATTTAGCTTCAATCATCTGATTGAGAGCACCAAAAGGTAACTTTCTTGACTTGTATAATATGAATAAAGAAAGAGAGTTTAATAAGTGAAGGCTCATTTCCTTGAGGTTTCGCCGTAGATAACAGACAAAAGGAGAGACGAATTAGAGAAGATGATTGACGAATGGTTGTTTTGTTCCGCCCTATTAGTATTATTATAATTGCAATTTGAGTTGTATCATTAAACTAATTATTGTCCCACCATTACCATGACAAAGACGATTACTATTAGTTTAATCATATAATCTCATAAACAATGTAAAATAAGTGACGTTACTTTTGTACTAATTTTTAGTTTAGTTTTTACATAGAAATGCTTCAAGAATAGAAACCATTGGAAGTCACAAGTCATAACAACATCCAGTTTGCTGGTATCTGCAAAACCTATCTTGTTCCCTGCTACCTTTTTTTTCGCTTTTTAATCAGTTCTTCATTTTTTAATTACAAAAAATTATGAGTTGGAAATTGGATTCTGTAGATAACCAAAGTTTAATGAGATAGGCATAGTCAGGTTTTGAGTTGGATGACCTGATGGAGAAATTTTCTTCCATGAGAATAGGATGATGGAAGTGGTGAATTGCTGGAACACAAGGTTGGTCAACTGTGGTATCATCTGCCTGGTCCTGTTTTTACATTCTGCCTTTGCACAAGAAGGTTAGTCTACATAAATCATGTTTGATGTTTTTTTTTTTTTAGTTTGACAAGTATATAAAAGTTACCAATTGCTTTGATATCAATAAGATAGTTGCTCTTTCCTCTATTGTGAATGATATTGATCATCATCATCCTGTTGATCTCTATAATGTTGTTGAATTCCCTCGAGAACCCTAACGAGGGATTCCCAAATAAACACCACATAAAGACTCTGAAAGAAAAAATTGCCTCAAACTATCATATAAAGCTGTGTTTGATTGCTCCACAAAGTGCTGCAAAACTCAGACCTATAAACCTACTTACACTGCATAAGTAGATCGTATTGACTAAAAAATGAAAAAAAGAGCATAATTAGATCGGGTAAAATAAACTTACCTGTCTTACAAAACACATACAAATCATTTCAACGGCAAGCAGTAACCAGCTATTCGTAGCATATATATGTAATATGATGTTTAAGCTGATGACAAACAACCTCATCATACTCTAGATATGTCACATAATTAGATTACTTAAATCTAACTGAAGTTCCAATGTGGTTTCGAGCAGGATTTCTAAGTATTCAGTGCTGTGCTGCTGCAAACTTTACAGAGCCACGTACCAACTTAAGTTGGATTTCAGATGGAACTTGGTTCCCTGAAAATCAGAGTTGCATATCAAGGCCAGTGTACAAGAGTGCACACTATGAACGAGCTCGATCTTTTAGCTCAGACATTGGTCATAAGTGGTGTTACAGCTTGCCAACCAGGAAAGATCATGACTATCTAGTAAGAGGTACATTTCTTTCTGTCAAACAAGAGAAGACTCTCCCACACAGTTCTTTTGTTGTTTTGATTGGTGTCACACCAATAGCCACAGTAAAGTCATCTGATGAACTTAAGGTTGAAGGAATTTTTAGAGCTACTAGAAGCTATACCAACTTCTGCCTATTGAAAAAGAAGGGGAATCCTTACATTTCTAAGGTTGAACTCAGACCGATAAATTCAGATTATCTGAAAAGGGAGCCTTCAGAAGTACTCAAACTTGTACATAGAGTAGATGCTGGAAACAAGGTTGCGGAAATCAGGTATTCTTTCATCCTATCACAGAATTATATTTTGGATTGGCAATACAGTATATTCTTTCATGGTAACAAATCAAGTATCATGAAGTGATAATGTGAAGACTTGTCAACTCAGGTACCCATATGACCAGTATGATAGAATTTGGAGACCAGCCTCAAATCTAGAATCACAAGTTACTCGAACGCAGCCATCCATTATTAAGCAGGTCATTGCAAGAAAACACAGTTTATTACCTCCTGCATTCGTATTACGAACAGCCCTCACCCATCCAGAGAGATTGGACTTCTTGCATGAAGACCTTGACACAGGATATTATACTTACTCTCTCTTCCTGTACTTTCTAGAGCCCAATGACTCAGTTCAAGCTGGAGAAAGGGTGTTCTGTATATACATTAACAACGAAAAGAGACTCAAGGTTGATATACTGGCTAGTGGTTCCAGATACCTGGATGTAGTTCTGAATTTCAGAGCAAATAGGTTTGTCAACCTGACGATGATCAAGGCCTCAAATCTATCCCAATTGGGACCCATTTGTAATGGTTATGAGATTTTAAAGACTCTTCCTTGGGTTAAAGAAACAGCCATGGAAGAAGGTAATTTTACTCAAGAATATGCATAGTAGCAGAATATAAGATGCCATAGTAGAAAAGCATTACAGAGAAGTGCATTTATTATCTCTCTATATGTTTCAGTTGACATAATGGCGAATGTCAAGAAGGAATTATTGCAAAAAAACAATGAAATATGGAAGAGTTGGTCAGGAGACCCTTGTCTTCCCCTTCCATGGCCGGGTCTAACTTGTGCTCGAGTCAATGGTACTTCAGTCATCACTCAGATGTAAGTTATTCCCTCTCTATCAAATACTCAAAGCAGTTTGGTTTTCTGAAAATTATCAAATAATATGTCTACCATTTTTTCAACCTCATTTATCCGTAGCATAGTAAGCGCGTTTGAGATAGATGGATTACACTTCTGGTCATTTAATCCTTTTTCTCTTATTCCCTACCACAGAGATCTCTCCTCAGGTGGCCTTAGTGGACCTAGCCCTCCTAGCATCCAAAAACTGATGCACCTGAGAAAACTGTATGTCCAAGCCTTTGTCATCAACACTAATATTTCACCTGTTCATTTTCTATTAAAACAAATTTACAATCTGGTGTAGTTTTACTAAACAATCAAGTTATTTGCCAAGACAGGAATATCAGCAATAATGGCTCTAGTGGCACAAATTCACTCTTTACATCATCCCTCACATACCCTACAAGGTAAATCTCCTATGTTGGTTTCCACATAAAATAATTGCAAAATGTGAAGAAGTTAAATAATATCATACAGAGGATTAACCTCTGAAAAAAAAACCAAAGCTGTACAAAAAGATTTACTAGCAAGCTGCCTTCATGCTTCATATGTTACAATAAAAAAGTATGATGTGACACTAATATCTTTGTTTCCTTGTCCCTCCAGACACTTAAGCAGAAGCATTCATATCAGCAACAAGCTTTCAAGAAGCATCAAAGAATCTAATATTACAACAGAGTATGAGACCACTGCCCTGTCTTCAGAGAAAAAAACAATTTCTATGATTTTACGCTGTCCACTTTTTCTCCAGGGGTGGGGGGAAGCAATGGGATATCAGGAGCAGGGAGCTGACAAAGAAAGAGAAATAAGCCTAATTTGTTTTCCTTTTTTACATTTCAGCAAAGGGATAGCTAATGTTAAACAAAACTCAAGTTCAACACATAAACTTGTGATAGGAGCAGCTGTAGGTACAGCTCTCATGGTGATCCTTGCAATTGTTATCTCTGTGGTCTGCCTCTTCAAAAGACGAGTAATGGCAGGGCCAAAATTTCTTATGAGAAATTACTCGATCACAAGGAGTAAGTACACTCTCAGCACACTAGAAATAATCCTGCACGCATAATGCATGATAATTTAAGAATCTTTTCTTGTTGATTGCAATAGCTTAAGATTGGACTCAACAAGCATAAATCATAAAACTTTCATGATTAAAAATAGCAGAAACTGTAACTATATCATCTGTTGCAAAGAAGCTTTTTTGACAGGAACTCAAGAAATTTGAAACAGAGTTTATATCCTTAACATTTGGTACTTATACTCAATGAAGCAATATGCTCAAAAAAAAATTCAAATGCAGATGCAGTATATTCAGTACCAAGCACGGATACTACCATGATGAAATCAATATCCTCCAGGAACTTCAAACTGGAATATATAGAAGCTATTACTCAGAACTACAAAACTTTGATAGGTGAAGGTGGCTTTGGATCCGTTTACCGTGGTACCTTACCTGATGGTGTAGAAGTGGCTGTAAAGGTCAGGTCAGCCACTTCGACTCAGGGAATTCGAGAATTCAATAACGAGGTAACAATCTAGAGTATTTGTAGAACAATTTCCTCCCAACTTCCTTATTTGCATCAAACCAACAAAAAGATGTTACCTAAAATGTGAGAAAAGCATCAGCACATGGAGTGAGCAATGAATCTTCTATTTTCTATTGCTATTTCACATAGGGAATAAACTAACGATACGCTCCACAAAATTAATACTTTCTCACAGATCCGTGATGTTCTCTTCATAATTGCTTCCGGCGAGCAGTGTTGCCTCTGAAATGTCTTAGCTCTTCAGGAGCCATCTTTATAATAATGCATCTTATCC